CTAATTCTTCACATGTCATATCTTTCATCTGTAAACAAAAACAAAATTCATAAATTCCACAAATACATGTATTACCATACAAATATAAAGAAAAATACTCATAATCTGAATAAGTTTTTGGAAAAGGATAATAAAGAGGATAAAATGTCGTAAAATACTGAAAAATCCACTAAGGTTACACAAACAATACAAAAGATGCCTGGAAGAACAAAAATTGACAAATATTAGAATAGAAGGGATTTGAAGTTTGACATGATATTCAGTCCAGCCAAAAAATTGTTCAAATTTTTATTAGATTACAGGTAGTTGTAACTGTTCATGGTAAAGCTGGGGAAAACCATCTTCATTAGGACTTGAAATAATTGGTGGTGAACTGACCTTAAGTTTTTCAATTTCTGTTTTTGCAGCTTGCTTTGCCTTCCCAACAGCACAGCCATGGAACCCCTAAAAATCCAGCCCAAAAAAAAAAAAAATTAAAAAACAATTTGACCTTGTCATATGTTTTGTTTTTATGTTTACACTACATGTGTAATAAAATGCAGAAACTTTCAATGAAGCTACTGAGCAGTTAAAAAAATTAAAATTTATCAAACTACATGTTATATAATTAACATTCTCATTGAACAAGACATGAGGACAGACATTCCTCACCCACGATACTCCTGAGGGGTCTATCATAAAGAGCTCTGCTCCATCAGGTCCATGGGAACTTAACAGAACACTGTGGGAGAAAGAAAGGTGCCGATCATTCACAGTACAGCAACACACCAAACAAAATGCAGATTGTTCTATAGAAACATTTTTAAATGTTTCTAAGAAAATCCCAGCAGTATTTTTCAGGATCTTGGATTTTATCTAAGATACAACAATTGGATTTGACAAACAAAAATAAGAACTGGGAAGCATGACACAAGAAAGTTGAGATCTGAAACAAAAGCTGGAAGGAAAAGAAAGTTAGAAAAGTACAAAAAAGCCAATTTGAGTTTTTTTTTTCATACACTACCCTATGTGGTAATGTGACTTCTTAGTACAAATGTAGATTGTTACAGATAAAGGACAAAATGCAAAATGAAACTATTACAAAGCATGTACATTGAGCCACTCACCTACAACCAAATGGTCTAACAGCACTGTACAATGTGTGAGCATGAATGTAACCTGACACTCTATCAACAAGGTACTGAAAAAAAACCATACAACATGTCAACAACACAAAAATTAACAGTGGGATGAATCAATGTGTCCAAACTTTATTGAGTACAAAGCAAGAATACCCATTCAGTGCAATTCAGTGTTACTAACAGTATGAGAAAACAGCAACTAAAGATGAGTTTGATTATTGATGTAAATAAAAAAAATACAATAAAAGGGGAAATGTTGAGAACAAAAATGTACCACATGAAGGTGGTGCAGGCCATTGTAAGTAATGGAGTAATATTTATAGTAATGTTTGGAAACACAATACACTGATGTATATAAACAAGCCAGAAACTTAAAAACATGAATGGTGTCACATCTGCCACTTTCAAAAATACTGTAGAGCCTGTTTGAATAACTTCAATGGTAAAATTACATTGAGTTCAATGATTTCATAGCCTTACTTTCAAAGGTATCGGAGATCCATAAGTTGATCTGTAATTGGCAGCTTCTTCTCTGGCGACACTAACAATCTTTAAATCAACAACAGAAATGTTTGTCAACAACCACCAAATTAAAATACATGTGGTCAACATCACCATATTATGTAAAATTGAAAAATTTACTTAAAGGTCTTTTTAACTTGAGGTATAAGCAGTTTACCTTACAACTGATAAACCTATTCCTGTCAGATAATGTGACTTTCAGGAAAATTCACAACTTCTAAAATTTCACAAATCTATCAGAAGGCTTGTACAAAGTGAGTTCTATGATATAGAGATGATTTGTGTACATTAAAAAAATCTTTACATACTTGTCTTGCATCAGCTATCAATCCTGCCACAGCCTGTGGTGCAAAAACAAACAAAGTATACATGGATATCAAATACACTGAGCTACAGAACACAACCTGTACATACACAATCTGAATGCAAGCTGCTCACTAGGTATTACTCTAAAATGGACAGCAGACTTGAAGTACAAATAAGTTGTCAGTCACAATATTTGTGTAAATCCATTTTACATGTTGAATTCACTTTTGACATACTATAACTTTAAAACAAATTTCTACCCAGGTTTAGAACACAAAGGGAATTGAGATCATTCTAGTTGATGGAAACTTTTTTGAGCAGGATTTAATTTTCACTGCAGTGTTCAGTTCACATCACTGAAAGTCAATAAAGCCATACACATCAGCAAGCCTCACACTGATGACAGTAATAAATTGTGTAAAGACAAAACATTGAAATTATATACAACTGCGTTTGAAATAAGCAATCATACTTTTATTGCAGTCTAAAAGGATTGATTGTTTGTGTCTTATTCCAAAGTACATGTGTATACATGTACTGTACTCACCATTCCAATGTGACTGTCTATATGTATGATTCTTTTGTTTGCACCATATTCGTACAATTTTGAAAGGACAAGCTTTTCAACACCAAACACAACCCCATCCTTTCCTCTGATGCCAACAATAGTTCTGTGGAGAAATACAGAACAGTCAATTTATTTTCTCTGAGTCCTGTTATTTCAATCTCTTCTACTACACACTTCACATGCATGTAGATTTCTTAAAGTTATATATATTTTACTGATATTTCCTGTCAGAGGGATGACAAAGTTAGGAGGATACGAAGTCGTGTACCAATCCAAGTTGCTCAAATTTCCTGATAAAATTCCCAGATTTTTAGATCTCATACAATTTCCATGATTTCAAAAGATGTTTGTTGTGCTACATACATAATAAGCTTGGTTCACAAATTAACAGCTTATATTACTAAGTAAGTGATGTCACTTTTTCTCTTGTTCCAGCTCTTCCAATGCAACTCAACTCAAAAATAATCTGGTATTGGGCGACATGTCAAAATATGAATTGTTCTTAAAAATTGTCTTGTTTCTCAAATTTAGGTGTAATAATTAACATAGAGACTTTGGGCAAAAAGGACATTAAAATTAGAAGGAAACAAGGAAAATATTTTTTTTCATCATAGTGGTATTTAAAAAGGGGTTCCTACAGAAAATAGCATGTAGGTTTGCAAAAGGACATGTATATAAAGTGCATGCCAAAGTTCAAGATAACACACTATTCAACCTACCCACTATTCTCCACTGCCTTTACAGCATATTCCACTTGAAATACTCTTCCATCAGGAGAAAACTGAGATGCAGACAAGTCATACTAGTAGAAGAAAGACAAAATCAAACACATATGGTATAAACATTGTGAAAAGATTGAGAAAAGAAAGTTAACGTTTAAACACTAACAGATGCCATCTCACAATCTGCAATCACTCTTTTGACTAAATGGCTAAACCAAATGTCTTCCAAGTGTGAGACCTTACACTAAGGTGAAAAAAATCCAAAATAAAGGAAATAAAACTTAAAATACTGCATCTTCCTCTTAAGAAAAGTTGTTGTTCCTGGATGCTTGTAGTATTCTGCATTCATCTTGTTTTGTTTGAGTCTAAGATCACTTTGGGAATCACAATTGACAAAAACTTTGAAAATTGCACATTGTTTTCCAAAAAGCCCTGAGTCATGTATAATGAAAAACTAATCATTACTCAAGTAAAATCTATGAGTAATCATCAATCAAAGGTAGGTTATTCTTTAAAGTAAAAGTAATGTGCCTTTTTCTCCTCCGAGCTCCTAGCATAATTGTAACATACAGAATTTTCCACTAAGATCAAAATTAATTTTCAAATAATTAATGTAATTATCATGTGTTTCTTAGTGGTTTAATTCAAACTGTACGAATTATATTATTTTGCCTTTTCACAAGCAGCTTCAGTGTTTCATTGAAGAGTGAGATTAAATCCTTTGGGAGAAAGTTTCTGCCTGCTTTGCTTAACGAAAATCGACGAAAAATTGGCCGTAGATACAGTTATCATCTACAGCACTAGTAGGAAGGTGGTTTGAGACAACACTAAGACTGAAATAAAACTGTCAACATGCACGTGGACACTCTTTACGGAATTTATATCCCAAACCGGATTTAAAAGCCTTATTCGCTGCATTTCATTCTTTAATAGTGTATACTTCCACTTACCCCGGTTCCTATAGAGCTCATAGTCTAAAACGTTGCCCTTATTTTTTCTTCAAAGAACACTAGATCTCGAAACTCTTCTTTTCAATATGGCCGCCACACGGGATACCGAGAGAAGACTAAGACCGATGACTTAGCAGTTTAGTACGCATGTCTTCAGTGCAAGAACTTCAGGGGTCTCCCCAAAGGTTCATTTTGTTTGGGAATGAGCACTGGGAGGTCTTTCACGTGCTTATTGTGGTCAATGTTTCATCATTCTTTTGTTCTTTTCCATATTAGGGCCACGATTTGACTTCCGGCACGTGCTTGGAGGTAATATCACTTGATCGTGGGATAGTACTGAAGAATAACAATCTGTACTCGATTGAACGGAACAGGTCGGAGCAGTTTCTAAACAGGTTTGTGACACTTAAATTCATTCATTTCTAGTCTTGCAGTTTACCTAGAGATGCGGATATTCGAAGTTTAGACGAGAAACCTGAGATACATCTGAAAAATTTCCATTAGCCAACCTTTTTTAACCCCTCAAGTCATTTAGTTAGTGAACCGGAAATATTCGCTTTGTTGTTCTCAGCTGTTTCGAAAAATTTGATTACAGTGCAGTTACAGCAGTGTTCATAATCCGACTTAAAACGCTCCGATTCCAGCCGAAATTTTCTCTTCCTAGTCGCTTCTTACGGTTCGATCACTGTCTCGCATTATTTGTTGCAAAAGTTTTCAATGGAACTGAAGTAGAGAATTCGAAGTCTCCAGATTAAAAAATTAATATTAAGGTTTTTTTTTCTTGTAAACAATGCCTTGGTGCAGTGTGCTTTTGCGAGAAGACTAACACTATTCTCTTGGATTTTGTGTTTTGATTTTAATTTCTTACGCGTAGAATCTTAGGAATGAAGTTTTATCTGAATTAATATTGCCATTACTACTGATATTTTTCTCAGAGAGTACCCTCTTCCTTCAGCTCCAGTGCGATCGGTCGCTGCAACACCAATTTTTTTTTCCCGGATTTTGGGATTTACGATTCGTTTACGAATTGCGATTTTCGTATCAAGGTTAATTTTTGTAAGGCAGGTAAGGATACGAAACTAAGAATTAACCGTAAGCGTACATTTAAACGAGAAAGGATTTGTAAGTCGAGAAACTCGAAGCCAAGGAAATATTATTAGTGCATACTTGCAGGAAGCGGAATCATTGAGGGAAAAAAAAGTTTAAAACATAAAATTTGAGGCCTTTCGCTGTCGCCACGGTAGCCTTCTTGCACTCTTTGTACTTAGACTGGAGGTAAAAATGAAAGCAAAGGGGACAGTAGATTGTCAGATACACGGAATCTGAAGACTTGATGTGAAAATAGGAATGCGAAGTCATGGTTAGCGGGGATGCTTTTTCCTAGAAATAAGTTTGTTTCCTTTATCTGAATTTTTTTTTGGTTTTCAAGGTCGGGAAGAGTAACAACATTTTCCTCTTCTTAGTCAATCGTCCTCTACTTTCTTGCGGCGTTTTTCGATTCCTAAGCTTGGTATTGCGAAATTCGTGTTCGATTGTGCAATGCTAATTTTTGCTAGTGCCAATAAGAAGCGAAACAAACGCGATTGAAGGTTTGATTCTTCATTATTTATGTTTGCAGTCCATACCCGTTCATACGCTCATTTAATTTCCAAGAGACAAAAATTTTCATCTTATTTTTGTCTCATTGAAATAACTTTGTTATCGACTGAAAGTTTTGGGGCTATGTTTACAATCAAATTTGAACTCTCCCGGGAACGTGCAAGTGTTAAGTATCACATTTCAGTTTTGCCCCTTCAATAATTTCTTTATTCACGCTTTACTCGACTTCATTCCTAAACGCAAGGGAGATAAATAATGTTGAAAATGGCCACAAATTTATACCGAAGAGTGAAACAAATAAATTTATTTTTTTCTTGCCCAGACGAGCAGTAAAATCATGTGTTTACAAGTAGTATGCTTTGAAAATACCCCGTTGGGAGTCGTTCTTGTGCCGTAATTTCGACACAAGATTTTAAGATTGTGTAATACAGTATACTGTTCTAACAAGGGATTGGCTCGTGAAAATAAATTACTCTTATTTTTTCCCATATATTCGCAGTAATTGTAACCAGTGGAGTTCGCTTAGCAATAGACTCTGCGATATGAAATCACCTTTGACACCACGGACCTTGGAAATTTTCTACCAAAACAACGGTGGGAATGGCCTGCTTGATTTACTCGCCCCCGAAGTTTTCTACCAAATTATGGTTAATCTTGAGCTTAAAGACATCAGGATCTGCATGTGCGTCTGCAAAAAATGGAGGGTAAGTGGGCGAGTTTCTACAAATTAGAGCATTTTTCAAAGGTTCAAAGCAAAATGTGTAGTGTACACTTTAAAGATTTCGTTTCTTTTGCACTTAAATCAGTCGTAGATCATAGTAGGCCCTCCCCGTGACAACATACTTTATGGAGAGTACGGAATCAAGCACTGTTTAATATAAATGTTTCCAGAAATTTTTTCCAGAATTATAATTTTATAATTTTATAATTTTATTATTTTATTGACACGGGAAGGCATGGAAAAAGCCCTCCATAGTTCATCTTACTTTTGGTTTTGTTTTGCAGTTGGATTTTTTTTTTTTCACAACCGTCGTTACTCTCTACTGTGTGAGACGCGGAAATTTTTAACTAAAATCCCAAGTTTACACTTTTATCTTCTTCATTTCAGCTACTCTTGTCCACGGGATACTTCTGGAGAAATTACATGAATCATTCGTTTGACTTTACGGATCAAGACGAAGAGAGACTCACAGGAATGTTGCACGAGCTCGGTAGCTCGTGGTTCTTCGGCTGGGGACAGGGAATGGTGCAGGGATTACCCGACGGGGACTTATTCGAGGAACTCCCAAGGCGCTGGAAATCCGGTATCGTGCACCCGGTTGGACCGGATGTCCGAAGTAAAGTGCCTGATTACAAGGCCATGTACGAATCACTTCATCAGCTGCAAAAATTGCAAGATGAAGTGAACGAAAGAGAAATTGTTTACAGTAAGTGTCTGTTCTATTTAACTGTGAATTGTGAAATCGTAAACTCTTTTAACCACGCTAGAAGTTCATTTGGACAAAGAAAGATTGAAGAAAGATTTACTGAACCTTTAAAATTTTACGAGAAGTAATCGTGCAAACTTGAAAACGGAGCAAATTTTCTTTATCAAAAAAACGTGATAGGGTTCGGGCTTGTTAATACAATACGAAGATTCTGTTTGTCCGTATGCCCGTCTTCAGCAGTTTAACTATTTCATATTCCCTTAATTTGAGGTTTATTATAATAGAATTCTCAGCTCATTCCTCGTCAGCTATGATGCTCTCCTTTTGCCTCAACCCTTTAACTCCCATGAGTGACCAAGACAGAATTTCTCCTTACAATATCAATACAATATCAACCAGATATGTGATGAGAATAAAGAAAAATATCAATTTGGGAATAATTAGTTGATCTAATGCTAAATTCTCTGAACTAACATTCTAAGAATTGTATGGTTGACAGTAAGGAGGATGATAAATTTGATCTGGGAGTCAAAGGGTTAAGATTAATTGTAAAATTCGGTAGTAATTTTGTAGAAGAGCCTGTTCCTAAGGTCTTTTTTCGTTTGTTTCAATTTTTTTTATGTTGTTTGTGCTGCTATTTGGTGAGGGGTTTCCCAAATTAAATACTTTTGCTTTGTCAGTTTCACCTTAATAGATAAGTGTATCAGTGCATACTAAGAAGCCACACCGCAGATGCCGAGCACCGTGCCAATTCAGGTACTACGGTCCCCCCGGCTGGCGGTAATCAGTGTACAGTAAGTGAACATGCCTTCAGGCTTACAGCAAAGTTTTTTACGGGGGGGGGGGGG